ATAATGCATTTTCTCGTTTAAAACAGTCTAAAATTACAGATTTCTTTAACTAATTGTCAAATAAGCATTAATTTATATGTATTCAATGAATAAAACTTTTTTGTTTTAAACCTTGTTTTAATGAACTCCTCTTTATAATGTACTTTTTGCCAAATCTACAAGGTTCAATATACCAAGGTTTAAGTGTATAATCAAGTGAATTCACGTATTGATCACAATTATGTACGTATTGCGAGTCACTGTAATATATCGTGCGATTCTGTATGAGTTTCGCGAGTCTTATATCTCTCTTATTAGACATAAACATTACTAACGGATCAGATGTGGACATCAGTTGAGACAAAGCGCTCGAGTTTTGCTTAATTTCTGAGATCTCCTGCGGCTGAGGAGGAATGGCTACTTTGGGTGCGCTACAAGAGCCCATAATCTTAGAGTCGGAACAAAGACATCGATAGTTATGCCTACCATTGGGGAGACATATGTGTTGGCAGTCATTGTTTAGGCAATAATTGGTTCCGTTTTGTTGTTTCTCTGAACGAATAATTCTTGTGAAGTCTATCCTCGACGTCGAGTTCACCACTGTTTCCACCGCTGAAGACATTGTCTGTTCATTCAATTCAGTCCTAAATATCTGTTTGTCTTTAGGCGACGACCAATATATGGATCCATTGAACACATCCATCAATGAACAGTCGCTGAAGTGTTGTTTGGATTGTCTCAAAGTCTTGCGATTATTGCCAAAGAAGTCAATCGATGACAACGAATGCAACTCATTGTCGATCCAAACAATGGTTTGTGTCTTAAAGTCAATACCNAATCGATGACAACGAATGCAACTCATTGTCGATCCAAACAATGGTTTGTGTCTTAAAGTCGATGGCAATACAAATCGGAAGTCGAATGTCTTTATAGACCAGAATCTGGGGATAGACCGGAACTGCCGATCCGTTGGAAGTCATATACTCTGACCACACGATGAATCCATCAAAGGTGTTGACCACCACTTGACCCGTCATCCATGTCTTGTACTTATTGATCGTATTGTTTGTGACGGCATAACCAACGTCTAGATTGTGGACATCCATGGCGTGAATATTCGTGTCATTCAAATAAAAGACCAAATCGTGGACCCAATCGACGGCTATATGTCTGTATAAACTGTTTCTCTCGAAATGTATCCATCGTTTGTATATCTGAAGCAAAGTCTGTCCATCGTTTGGATCAACTTTTGTCTTAAGTTCAGCCATTGATAGAGAATAATTATCGTGTGAACCGTTACTTTCGAACACTTTTTTAACCAAACATTAATACTATTCTTTGATATAAAACAAGTCCATTCTTGTGGACACCGTTTTATTATCATAATTATTATCATAAAACTTATTAAATCGTCAATAATAGTGATGTCGTAATCATTCAAATTAATGTTCGTTTGCGATGTCTTTCAGTTCGCAACCATTGCTATAAATATAAGAGTAATACATTTGAACATATCAATGAAATCCTATCAATTGATTAATCATTGATTCATTCATATAAAATTAGTGCACTATTAAGTTTATAAAATATTGATTACTACTAAGTTTATAATAAAAGTAAATAACTAGTGCTGTGAAACATTTATAAGTTTATCAAGCTCATACATCGCTATGTTTAAGAGATTTAAATATTTGAAACTCCATGATCTAGGTAAATGACCTAGGATATAAACTTACGGTTTCATGATTTTCCGTATTGTTGTTTCAATTCGTGAATGATTTTGATTGTCTCTATTTTTCTATTAGTTTGCAATTGCTTTGATTGTAATATTTCGTAATTATGTTTAACTAGTCTTTCCTCTGGAGTTAAAGGCTTTCCTTTGCCTCTATTCGGCTGTCATTCTCTTGATTTGTATTCATACGAAACAATTATTGTCCGCAATCTCAAGAGATTCACGAGTTTCACATGAATCGCGACTTTAATGGCCAGATGTTTGACACGTTTGTCGCCAATAATAAGTCTCGCGTTAGACTCAACACTCAATTAATTGCCACTTAATTGTCGACTCAATGATCACAACACAGTTATAATATGATTATTAGTCGCCCGAGAATTGGATAAATGACTGAATATTATAAACTAATGTATATTTAGTAGTGTTTAGTGTTTAAACACAAGACATTGAGGCAACTGATCCCAAACATGACTATCAAATATCATTTCAAATATTATTCACTGCACTCGACATCATATAAATTCTAACTCAAGAATATTCTTATTATAGAACTTAATGAGGGTTTAGAAATTGTTTACAAGAATCAAGCATTTATGTTCAGACCATTGCTTTGCAATACAATCACATCATGTTTATTATGAATGACATCATAAGCGCAATGAGTTTTGTATTGAGTTTTGTATTGAGTCAATGTGTGTCACACAGAGCCACCACGCGTTAACTAACTCAACTAACCCAACTAACCATGCTCATCTTGTAACTAATTTCAAATCCTTGATAGCTATATTTACACAAAAATTACTCTGGGGTATAATAAAATGTGAACAAAAATGGCCTAGTTACCTTGGGTTCCCATAGCTTATTATGATAATCATATAAACAGTGAAATGTTTTATTTTGTTTTATTTTCGTTACAAGTGTTGACTCTTTAATGCATTTAGAGTTTAATCAATGAATTAAAAGTGACTTATAATTAGTTTTTATTAGTTATTCAGAAATAAGTGTTTGGTTTGTTGTGACTTTAATTTTATATTTTCATAAAATCATTACTAAATTAAACACACATTCAATGAGCAGTGAATTGATGTATAAATTGAGTTTATTATTAAAAGTAAATGCTTTTCACAAAAGTTTTAATGCAATTAACACTCAATTAAACGATAACTCTGTTGTCGTAAAAAGTAATAAATTGAATGTCACTTCAATTGATTGTAATTTATTGAGAATTAATGGCAATAATTAAAACCCATTGAATGGTGACATCGATGAGCGCCGGGAGGGCGCGAATGATGTCAGCGATGGACGCGCACACACATGAGCACTGGTAGCCCATAATCAGTGGTCAATTGATGGCAATAGGAGGCAATCGGAGCCAAAAGGTGTCCGACAGGAGGCCACGCGTGAGGGCTCACGAGTGTTACGGAGGAGGCGTTTGATAGCACTATCGGGTCTTAAAGAGCGACTCATCGCTGGCAACGACTTCCAAATCGTCGCCAATAAGCTCTTCCATCGCAACCAAATGGACGACAAGTATAATCCGGGTCTCGGATTCTTTAGGTGAGAATTTTACCCTATTTGCGGGCCATTAGTTTGCGCGCGTTTTTGTCAATACACTATCAATGCTTACAAGTTGTATAGTATACAGTACCAGCTATTCATTATAAATTTTATATATTTTAGCGAATTAGAGATTATTTAATAAGTACGTGGTAAACATTAGAAAAATACCTAACCCTCCCCCATACTGAACTCCCATATAAATTAGATAATATGCAAAAATCTCACTATTAAAAAACACACAAATATTATCATTAATTTATATGACAAAGTTTTCTTACATTTAGTAATAGTGACATTTTTGTTGAATATTATTAATTTATATAATTACATAGAAATTTAACTTTATGACATTAATTATTTATAAAATTATAATTGAATAAAAATTATCTTGATAATTGATCAATACGTCACATATTTAGCCTACGGAGTGAAGGGCACCTGGTCATCAGTACGAAGTGGACTTCTGGAGGGATTTGGTACGCGATTGGTCTGCAATGGACTCGGGATTCGCGGTGTACTCCAAGATCTTAGGCGCGGACTTCGACCAGATTTTGGCGACAGGGAAAGGGATCATCGCTTTGATGATGACTCCCAAGGAGCTCAATGTTAAGGCTCACGCGTGCGTACTTGTGGTCAACCGTTTACGACAATGCAATTTAAACTAAATTCCCCGTGACCGACATATTTCCATAATGACTTAAGTCAGGCTACATATACTGGACTAACAAGTAAGAATAGGGTATTTTATTACCTAAACTCCAACTTTTCCCTCCCATATGTATTCTGACATTGAGTCTTTATGGAAATAACATGGAAATACCCTGTTCACGTGCAAATTATGATAAGTCATTTGTTTTTTCAGTTTATGTCTTCAATCCGTCGACAAGTTTAGAGATTCCGCGCGAGAAGTCAATCACAATGTCCGTCAAAATCACGAACTTTATGGCACGCGAACAGCCCATACATGTGGGCGAGGACTCTGTCTCCCGGGGCTGTTATTTGCGGTCATGTTTTTGGTTTGCCGGTGAAGTCATGGCTGGTGGTGAGGAATGGCATCGGAAGTACAACTTTAAACCTTATAAACTTTCCAAACGATAGTTATAAGAGGTGTTAGTATTCAATAGTTTTGTTAATAGACTATTCTGGGTTTCAAATATTCATTACTTGTTTTGACACGAAATTGTTGAGCTTTTATATAAGTTTTTTGAAGGATTTTTCATTTAATTTTGGATTAATTTGAATAAACATTTTGTAATATTATGTCAAAAATAGTGTAATGTTTACTGTATACCTGATCACTTAATACATAAATCTTAATAAGTACATTAAAGTTTTACGAATTAAAGTAATAATTTTATTAATACAAACAATATATTGTAATAATGTAGCATAATCTGGGTATTATAGTAAGTATCTACATTTATTTATAATTATTAAATTTGAAATTATTTATTTAAAACATCAACATGGTCACAGATCTCCATTAATGGACGTCTCTCTCAAAATCACTTCATCCCGGTCATTTCTGAATCTAGCCATTAAATTATCAGCCAATGGACTGCAGTATGATAATAATAAAGCACATGTCAAAATGTGAAATTAATCAAGTTAAAATTTAGCAAAAATGAATTAACATTAACAAAATCTTAGTTAATGAATAACCCCTACCCTCTGTCCACCTATTAATTGCAAATAATCGTAAAATTGTTGATAAATTATAGTTTACTTACGCTTTGATTTTGCGGTAAAAATAGATACCGATTAGCAGTAAATTAATAGATATGATAATCACTGCTATAATAATCCAATAGTTGGTGGCATTACTAGTCGTGTTCAGCAAAGAATCCAATTTTTGTGATATCCTTCCCATACTATCATCGGTTGTATTCTCTATAAGATTCGTGTCATTTGTTTGCAGTACTAATGTTTCCTAAAATACAATTCAATTGCTATAAGAATTTCAAATAAATTTCAAAGATTTTTGTCTCACATTCTCTTTACACAGAATCCGATCCTTAGTGCAAACACAACGGTAGTAATGTTGGACGGGTAGACAGAGTTGCGAACATTCATGATTGAGACACCTATTTGTGCCATTGATTTGTCGGTTAGGGTCGAGGACACGGATAGCCTGTAAATCTGCGTACGACGTGATCAACATCTCCTCACCTTCCCTTTCGGTAATATCGGTTATATATATAGAATTGGTACCAGAATTGGACCAAAAAATGTTTTCCCCAACATATCCATAGAAAATGCAGAACTAAACTGGGAACTATCTTTTATTAACCGGTAATAAGTCCCTGAGTAAGTGATTGATTTCAAAAAAAGGGCGTCTGTATCGATCCAATAAACCAATTGTGAGCGTATGTCGAGTGTTAATGTTTTAATATTTCCCGTACTATTATAGAGCACCTGTATGTTAGAGCCGTCCTGATTGGCACGCATTATGCTTCCCATATATTCTTATGAGACTAACGTATACTTCGTTTGAGACCATACAAGTAGTCCATTGTTAGGGTCGACCGCCACATCATATGAATTATGATATTCATTATGAATGACCACATCATATGAGTACAGATTGTGGCCAATAGTAAACACTTCGATACCTTTAGCGACTCCTATATACACCAAATCGTGTATAAAATCATAAGCCATTGATTTGCATTCATAAGTCTTTTTGAGTAATCGTTGATTGTTTCTATACATCGACGGTTTACTCCTATCAATAGGTGTGGCATATAATGTAAATCCAGCAAATATACTATTTACGATATAAAGCATAAAATTGTTGTTGTAATTATAATCCAATTCCGTAATTAACTCATTGCTTGAGACCAATCCAATGGACTCAATGTAATTAGTGTCCAATTCGTGAATATTCTGTTTGACATAAATTCCCTCCTTATAGGACACAAACAATAACTTCGTTTCGTTGTCCAACACTT